TCGGTTCGCTTTTGTTTCCTTTCGCAACAGCAAGTTACTCATTTTACCGCAAAACAACAATTTCCCGTGTGGATTACGGTAAAGGCATCGTAAATTCTGACATCTATAGCTTCAGTTTTATCAAAGATATCAAATGTGTCTTTATCAAAAAATATGATAAGAGTATCGTAAAGATGTTAAATATTTTCCGGTGTTCCACATCCAGCCGTTTGAGCTTCTCTATCTTTAAGGTCAAGAGCACCAGCAGCACACTGACCGCAAGGCGATGCAACATGACAAAGCAGCTGCATATTTGGGCAACTGCGTTGTCATTTGGAGCTGGTCAAACTACCTATAGTTTTCATGAACAGAGCTCATTTCATAGAATAGTTAGATTTATAGCTAATAACGTAATTCAGTAATGCAAAGAACCAACTTTTGCTAGCAGTCCAGTTCGCTTCAGTCTATGATGTTTTGTAATTCAGGTGCAAATGTCTATTGCTTGAGGAGTCGTGCCCTTCAACAGTGTGTGCTAGACGGAAACGAGGAGCTGGTATAGTTCTTTTTAACATTTTTATAGGTTTTTCTTTGTTAGCTAACAGAAGCTGAAGAGCGAGCTCTGGCTATGAAGGGAAGAGGGATAAAGCGGAGGATGCTTGGCGTGCCTTTTTCGCGCCATAGAAGCAGTCAGGTTTTCCGTCAGATGATTGGCTTGCATTCAAGTGGACTGCGCACATCCTTACAGTCCAAATTTTAGCCTCTTTTAATAAAAATTTGAAAATTTGTTTTTCCAGGCATTGCATTTGATTACAAAAGGTTTTGACCCGAAACAAATCGAATTGCCTGCCGAAGACGAATTAGGAGAAACCGTCTACAAAGTTAGTGGTTTATTTTTCAGGAGCTCCTGAAGTACTTGTAATTAATATTATTAGCTTTAAAAAAGCTAATAATATTACTACAAAAGCTAATAATATTACTACAAAAAGTTTTTACTACAAATTTGTTTTTCACTGATTCTTTTAAATTACATTTTATTTTTCTATATTGAGTGAAATTCGAATGAAGGCATGGAAAGTATGGTGCCTTTTCGATACCACGATTTATCAGGCCGTGTTAATTCTGTTAAAATAGGACTGTATAGTTCTGAAGGGAATTTAACTACTCCCGGTGAATAAAAGACTTCTTTAACTACTCCCGGTGAATAAAAGACTTCTTGGTCATTTTTTGGTTTTTTCCTGGCCAATTGTAAGTCCCCCTACCAGCGTAGTTTTCTATTTTTCTAGCTCTTCTCCCTACTTTCAAATGAATTTTACGTTACTTCATCTAAATATTCCTCGATTTAACTTAGGTTCTTGTATATTCCTACATCAATAATTTTGTGATATCTGAAACGCGAAATTGAGAAGTCACTTTGTTAATCCTCATTTCTGCTTCCTGAGCGTGATATCGCTGCATGAAAAGCATTGTTCTATAATGTCCCAGGGGAGATGAAAACAGTGTTGGATGGTCAAAATTCTGTGCAAGCAATATGCAAGCCTTTATAATATCGCATCTCAAAAGCCTTTGAAACATTTTCAGATCTACGATTCCATCAGTACGTACATGAATCGCTTACAGTCGACGGTTCGAAAATGGACAGAGGAAGGCCTGCGAGGAAGCGGGCTGATTGAATGTTGCAGTGATGCACATCCGGTGTCCAGTGTCTTTGAACATCGAATTGGTCAGCTTGAAAAGAAGGTATCAAATACTCAAAGAAAATTTATAATATTTGGCGTTTTTTTGGGTACAACTTTGCCCGGACAGTTGGTGTGGATACTTAATTTTAGTGATTTTACCGGGATGCTTCCATAGGCCAGGTGCAATTTTATCAGACGCACAGTTGCACAGATGAGTTAAACATGGCAGAATTTTTCATTCCCATTGGTCACTTAGGTTATTGATGCCATTTTAACTAGAAATGGCTATTCAGATCGAAAAAATTGCTTTTTTTATCGGATTATCACTGATGTTCAAAATACCGCAATGTATACCTAC